TGGCCGAGCGGATGTCGGGCTGCCGGCCGGAGCAGAAGATGGATGGTGCCAGGTGTTGAGGGGGAAGGGTGCCGGCACCGGATACCCACTCCAACCCCCCCTCTTCTGACATCCCCACGCCTGGAGAAGGGGAGATGGGCAGGCACAGCTGGCCTCACCAGCCCCATGGGTGTCAGCCCATCACCCTGTGTCTGGGCACCCCAGCATGGGCATTGCTGGACACTGGGAGGAGCAGTGCCTTCCACGCTGCTCAGCAGCCCTGACGATGCTCTTCGGGGGTGGCAGGCTCCCCACGAGCAGGAGAGGTTAGTACCCACCGATGCCCAAGCACGGGACTGGCACCGCCCCAGCGCTCGCCACTAGTCCAGGGCACAGTTGGCCCCTGCACCAGCAGGAGGTTTCCTGTGGGTCCCCAATGGGGTGGCACCAGGGGTGGGCACTGGTGCTGTGGTGGGCAGGAGGGTGCCAGATCCCCCAAGTGCAGCTGGAGAGTCTGTGCCAGGCTGGGCACAGCACCAATGCCAGGGGCAGGGAATGAGGCTGGGGGTATCGCTTTTGGGTACAGGGGGATGGGAAGGGAGATGTGATGGAATGTCATATTCCCCATGGAAAGTCACCCTGTCAGTGCCCGCCTCTCTGGCACTGCATGGCACAGCACTCGCTTCACACTCGCCGGCTAACGGAAAATAGATCCCTTCTTTATTGAAAAATAAACCTTTCTCTGTACAAATAAATAACAGCCTGAGTGCCTCTAGGGACAATGGGGTGGGCTTGCCAAGGTGGGGATCCTGAGGGAAAGGAGGGCCATGATCCTTGGCTGAAATGCTTCAGGTGCCCCTGGGCATCCCATTGCCCTGGGGAGCTTGGGCAGTGCTGGTGGGAAGAGGGAAACTGAGGCACGATGGGGCACAAAAGGGTGGAAGAGCCTGAGCTGGAGAGGGAGCTGTGTCTGAAGGACACGAGAGATCCCTGCCCCAGCACCCTGTCTCCATGCTGGCATGGTGCCCCAGAGCACTGCGGGCACTGTTAGGTTTTCAGCGCCTCGAGCGCCAGAGCGACAAGGCCGGGCATGCTGCGGGCCAGTGAGTCGCTCTCCAGCCCCACGAGGCCAGTGAAGGCCGTGGGGCGACCACCCACCGTGGCCCGCACCTGTGCCCGGTACAGTCCCTTGGCATTTTTGGAGCTCAGGTCCACGAGGATCTGCAGGGAGATAATGACACTGAGTCCCAGGGGGGCCAGGGACACAGTGGAATGGTGATGGTCAGGGTGTCGTCCCACCTGGCTGCCAGGGCCAGGGGCTTGGAGCAGCTGGATGGGGCACTCACC